CTTTAAAGTGTATAAATAAGTTACCCAGGCAATTGATCTACATCAGCCAATCAGACGAATTTCTGTCTATGATATTATAGTATTAAAAAAAATCGAGATTTGGTCGGTCATTGGGACCATCACATAATCATTCGAAGCACAGCCTTGTACATACACATTTTCGGTATGCTAATTGATATTCATGTAACATGTATGCAACTGAAAAATTATAAATACAACCTGAATATGATAAAAAATTTTGGGGCATTTGATAAGCTCTATATAGCACATATAGCGCATATAATATAATATAATATAATATAATAATATAAAATAAGATAACTATAAAATTTTTTAATAAAAATCTTTTCCATTTTAGTTTATAAGGAAATGTGGCATATCACGAGCAAAGGTGAAACTAGTAGAAAAGGAGATCTGCATCCAACTTTAACTTTAAATAGAAATAATCTATGGCATATATCAAAAAAGATTGTAGAGGGTTAATTAAACCTTTTGCACTATATGTTTTAATGGTAGAATATCATTACATGATATATGAAGTTTAAACTTTTGCAAAGAGCAAGTTTTTTCTGAAATATAACTTATTTATATGTTGTAACAAAAATGAAGCTATGCATTTCGTGATCTATTCAATTTCAGAACTATTCGGTATAGCAATTTATATATAATATTTATGGATCAGTTTAATAGGCTTTTGTAAATTATTAAGTAATATTTTATTCCACATGTACACTATTTAGATAGATACTATATGTTAATATTACAATATGCAAATAAAGGGAATCTTAGAGAATACTTCAGATCACTTGATACAAATTAAAGGGGAAAATAAATTCCAATAGTCATAAATTTTTACAGGATTTCATAAACACATTTTACACTCTATTAAGCTATACTATATTTATTATCAGGCTAATATTACTTTAATAGAATTCTACAAAAATTCTGATTCACAACGGAAAAGCAATAATTACAAGTTTATGGAACAAATAGCTATTGAAACCTCAGCTTCCAATTCAATGGTTGACACGATGACAGAATACATTAACCCTTATTGCTTCAAAGAGCATATATACAAACACAATCAAAAATCTAATATATACAGTTTTGGTGTTATATTTGAGAATCTTAAGTGGTAAAAAGCCATTTAGTTTGCTCAGATCTAAAGAAGAAATTGCTATGTATATATATATTCAAGGAGTTAGAGAAAAACACACCCCCAAATTTACAGACAATGTTGGGACTAGGGATAGGTTATAGTCGAACCTATCCCTAGTTGAGACGACAATCCTTTCAGATGATAGAAAATAATTTAGTGTTCAAAGATAAGCCGGCTTATCACAGATTGAACCTAGATGCTGCACAAAAATATACAGCAGATCCTCGATTTTGATTGGCTAAAAAAATTAAGCCAGAATTACTTATAATTTTACTAATGGAATCACAGCCGCACATTAAGTGAAAATTGTTCCCGGGTCAATTTTACTATAATGTGTACTTATTTTTAAAAAATTTCTATTTTTGTAATGAACAAATTAAAAAGTTAATTCCAGCTGGAATTTAGTAAACAACTTTGTAATGCGGACCAAAATTTCGAAGATCTTTGGCCGTTAGCCAATCAAAATCGAGGATCTGCCGCGCATTTTTTGTGTGGCACCTAGGGTAAATAAATGTTCAGGGTACTGCGGTGCATAATTTTGCTCATGCTAAAAATACTTTTTTACATTGTAATTTGATTTAAAAAGTGATTTAAATCATGTATCTCTTTTGAGAATAATACAACAAATTATTTTTAGCATGAGCAGAATTATGCACCACAATACCCTGGACACTCTAATAGATAACTCTAAATGTTTATAATAAAACAATCGATAATCTTATAATCGCGATTTTGCTATCGTTATAAGCCTGTGATACTCCTATGATCTGTTTTTTCTAGCCATCAATAGATTTAGGTCCTTATATGTAATATTTTCTAATATTAGTCCTTTATATGTAATTATTTTTAATTTGGGCCCACATTTGTAATTATTTTCACTTTCCAGGCCCTTCCTCTTTTTTTTGTATTCATAATCTATTAGGGTGTCCAATGCAAGTCTATTTACAAATATAGTGCAGGTGGTAAAGTGATAATCATTAATTAATTTTTTTTTGTAATTAGCAGTAGTGTATATAGTAGAAACATATAAAATTTAACTTGTAATAACTCTTGAACAAGCAAACCTATACAGATAACTTTATATTTGTAAGGATGCTCTTTAAAGTTATAGAGTCTTTTTTCTTTTATTCTCATTGTTTGAAGCATAGCGGAGGACGCAGTTTTTATGCAAAATAGTCATTTTTGATGCATTTTTAATAAATACATCAAAAACATAACTTTGAAATTTTCATCGCACAATACAATAGACAAAATTTTTTGAAGTTACGTTTTTGATATTTTTATTGAAAAATATCAAAAATGACTATTTTGCATGAAAACTGTGTCCTCTGCTATGCTTCAAACAATGAGAATAAAAGAAAAAGGCTCTATAACTTTAAAGATAGAGGATACATAGATTATTTATCATATGATATATATAGTAAATCTTTTTATATAACATATAATATAGTAAACACAACTCTAATTGGGTAATTACCTGTTTTAGAAATATTTTTACTATTCTTTTTTTTGTATAACCCCAGCAAATTTGAAGCCATCTAGCAAATTTAGCTATATAAGCAAGTATATTTTTTAAAATAATATAGCCTTTAAAAATTTTACTACTAAAAATAGAAG